CTACTGTGACACATTGTTGTAAGCTGACCTGATACACGGTATACTTCAGTGCCGTGTGTAAGTCAGTATAATCACTCGTTAGATCGATCTACTGTGACACATTGTTGTAAGCTGACCTGATACACGGTATACTTCAGTGCCGTGTGTAAGTCAGTATAATCACTCGTTAGATCGATCTACTGTGAAATATTGTTGTAAGCTGACCTGATACACGGTATACTTCAGTGCCGTGTGTTAATCAGTATAACCACTCGTTAGAACGATCTACTGTGACACATTGTTGTAAGCTGACCTGATACACGTTATACTTCAGTGCCGTGTGTAATTAGGCATTGAACTGTTTTTGTATGGTATTTATGATCTATTAGAATGACACAGCTTTGCAAGCAAACAACATAATGCGGTCGTGGATTTTGAAAAAAAGGAACGAATACATTGCCACTATATACATCGGTTGTAGTTTATTCCGATGAATTTTGAGGACGGTCAACTTTTGTAATAACTTTAAAGCAGAAATAACGCTTAAAAGATTACACAACTTCCAGTATATATATACAATTCTAAACCTACGAAGTCGTGTTTCTGGTATTGATGTCATGTCGAGTTTGACATTTAGACCTACCTGCATATGCTTCTATAAACGCTCAAATATTTTCGCGAATCGGCGACAATTTGTAATCTGCATATATCACGATTTAGCTCCAAAGGTTCAACGATAGTCGTTAAACTTTGGAATTAGTACGAAATTCTCTGAGATATGACTACCGCTTATCTGATTACGTTAACACTTTTCAGTAATAACGCTCGACTCACCACGAACATGATTGCCATTTAGGACAGAATTAAGTTTTCTCCTTTCCACTTGGACATGGATAGCAAGGATTGTGATAACAGGGTAGTGGAAGAGCGACATCTTTTGGTGTCCCCTAGGTAATGGAAGGATAGTATCTGCCCGTGCGCTGGGAAACTGATTTATAAGAGTTGCCTCGCTTCGATTGTCATATACTGCTATGCTTTTATTTTCAATCTAGTCTTTTTTGTTCAAAGTCTTTAATATTAAACAAAACAACAAGAACCATGTCATTTATGTTATCAACAGAAACTCTTTTACCTCATTCACTCTTTGAATTGAAAAATATGATTATTTACGCTTGATTGTAGCCTTAATACTTTCCTATATTTTGCAAGGGCAAACCAAAACGGACGCTTAAATTTTAGTCTTTGTCCACTACAACGATGTCAATTACTTTAAACATATTTATTGCCAATAAAATTGAATAAGGGCTTGGGCACAAGTTATATACGTCAATGTTTACCATCGAAAGACCATATTACCCTACCAAAATCAGTTGGCATTCATATAGTGATATAGCTTCTGCATCGGATAACAAGTGCAGAGCGGTGCTTGTCATGCTGGACTTGTCAGCTGCATTTGACGTCATCGACCATGGCATACTTTATAAACGTCTGGAATACTCTTATGGAGTGACTGATACCGCACTATGCTGGATACAGTCATACCTGAGTGAACGACGACAGTGTGTTGCCATCGGATCTGCCACCTCACATGACACAGTACTAGATTTCGGGGTTCCTCAAGGGTCGGTGTTAGGACCACGAAAATAGTGTTTGTACTCCAAACCGATTGGAGAGATTTGTCGTCGCCATAGCTTTCGCTATCATTGCTATGCAGATGACACACAAATTTGCATGGTCATAAAACCACAGGACAGTTGGAATACAGTCTCAGAAAGTCTGGAAGCTTGTCTGACAGATATCAGTATCTGGATGAACGCCAACATGCTTAAACTTAATCAGGAAAAGACGGAACTAATCGTCTTTTCCCCAAAGTGTCAGCAAACAATGGCTCTCCAGCTCAAGGTTGGTGCCAGAACTATTGAGACTGTTCCAGCTGTTAAAAACCTAGGGTATACTTTGACAGTTCTCTGAACATGGAGAAACAAGTGAACGCTATTGCCAAATCCTGTTACTACCAGATCAGGAACATCGGCTGTATTCGGCAGTTTCTAATTGCAGATGCATGCAAGATTTTGGTGCATTCACTTGTTACCTCTTGGTTGGATTATCTGACAAACTAACTAGTCGTCTGCAGAGGGTCAAGAACACTGCAGCACGGCTAGTTGCTCGTACACGAAAGAGAGAGCACATAACACCTGCGCTTAACCGTTGCACTGGTTACCTGTACGATACAGGTCGCAGTACAAAATTCTGGTATACACATACAAGGCACTGAATGGAACAGCTCCTCAGTACCTACAGGAACTTGTTATCCTGTATCAGCCGTCAAGATCACTGCGGTCGGAGTCAGAATCTTTGTTGTGTGTCCCAAAATCTCGTACTGTGACCTACGGAAACAGATGCTTTTGGAAGGTTTCAGCTACGTTGTGGAATAGCTTACCATCTGCTATTAGGGAGTCAAATACCCTGGCCAAGTTCAAGAGGGACATACAAACTCACCTCTTCACGTCTGCATTTTAGAATCTTTGCAAAGACGTTATGTAAATACCTCCCTTTTATTTGTTCAATTATGTGCACATTGCTTGTTAAATGTATGAAAGTGATTGCAAGCCTTTGTTGTTTGTTTTCACAATTATAAGCATTACTATTATCCATATGTTGTAAAGCGCCTTAGAGTAATTTTACAAGTTATATAGGGCGCTATATAAATGCTGTATATTATTATTATTATTTATAGGCTATGAATGCATGCATGAACCGATTGTTGACGTCATCATTATTATGACGTCATAATTGTTTCGTTGGATACTACTGACCATCCCCGGGCGATGACTGTTCTATTCATCTTGTCAAGCAGACACGATACATACATCATTTAAATTAATACCAAATAACAATAAGTGTAATTGATTTTTTTATGAGATGAACAGATTCCAAAAATGGTAAATATAAGTATTGAACTGCTTTTAATTGCCATTAATAGGCAATATGAATTCCAACTGGACAAAGGCAAATTCAACATAAATTTGCTTTTGTCCAGTTGGCATTCATATTGCCTATGAATGCCAACTGAAAGCAGTTCAATGCTTATGACTCAAGAGCGGTGCGTGATCCGGTATATATCGGGCAGTAACCTTGACCTTAACTGTAAGGACCTGGGAGCGATTCACAATAAATACAACAGTTCTTCAGTCACTCAGTAGTTATTGTCCAGAAACGTATTTTGATAATGTGCTCAATTGACCTGTCTCTGTGACCGGACCTTTGATACACGGACTGGTGACACGCGACACACAGTCTTCGAGTATAGTGGAGATTATGTGCGCGTGCGAAGTTTCATCAATATATCTGATAATTTGGCATTCAGACCAAAGCTTCTGATTTACTAATCAGTTGGCCCTTGACCTTCTATCAACAGTTCACAAAAATAGTGTGCCGCCTATCAAAAATTAAAATGCGGACATGAACTGGATTAGAGTATTTACACGTGATTCCTTTGATGGTACTTTGACGTTCACAGTATGGATCTGAAGTGGCAGATCACAGGTTTCGTCACACTCATATCTTTCAAATTGCATGCAAACAATCAGTATTAGTTTGGTTACGAATGACCATACTTGACCTTTGACCCCTTGCTATGACCGTAACAATAACGGCACGCGGTAACACACATAACTTAGTTAAGTATCTTGAAAATAAAATCACTTCAAAAGTTATTGTCTGGAAACGAATCGCATGGTCACATGGAGCAAAATCTGAAGTCCCCCGAATCACCGGTAGACCAAAGCACATCAGGTTATATTGTTTCCGTTATTAACTGTATAATGGTGGCTGATTTGTGCCAGTTCGTTGGTCGTCAAAGGACGCGATTTAGTTACAATCCCCTTTCTTCAGTACCATTGGAAGAATTCTATCCAAATTTGTCCTGGAGCGTCCTTGGGCAAAGGGAACTAAACGGAGATTGTAGAGGGCGGGGCTTAATAGGGAAATTGAAGGTTAAAATCTTTAAAAAAAATTCTTCTGTACCATTGGAGGGATTTGATCCAAATTTGGTCCAGAGCATCATTTGGCAAATGGGATTACATTATGTATAAACGGAGGGTGTGGC